ATCATTGGTGGTTTAAATAGTGCCGAGTATAAACCATTCAATGATGAACTAAATCGGATGAAAAATAATTATGCTACAGCTATACCAATAATTGATGGATTGAATATTGATCAATTACAAGATTTTCTCAAATGTATTGAATATTCGAATACAGTCATGAATCTAGACGGTGGTGATATAGACAGAATGAAAGAATTCCCATGTTGCAAAAAACCGGATCAGTTTTAGCGGTAAACCGCGGTATTTCTCAAAACTGCCGGTTTACAGAATTTCACTGGCAAAGCCACCGGTTTGCCGCGGTTAACCGCCGGTTTTAAATGATATTGCGGTTCTTTACAAATTCCACCCATCAGTCACGGCGTACCGCTAGTTTTTCCGGTGAAGAAAAGACGACGAGTGTGTATAGAACGAAAAAAAAAACATGTATATATGCATGTGCTCGCCGATCTTTCTCTCCTGGTTTGCGTGATTAGATAAAATAATCAAGACAAGAATAAGAGGCGCAGTATAGATTTAATTATTTTTATACATAATTTTTTCATAATTATTTTCTTTTTAAAAGATTAAGTTTTTAGTATTTATTTCTTTTTTATTAATATTTTAATATTGACTTCTCTTTTAGATTATTTTTTTTTATTTAATTTTCAGATTATTTTTTTAAATTCAATTTATAACTTTTTTAAACATTTTTAGATTGTTTTGTACGTTATTTTTTCAGATTAATTTTTTTATATTGAATTTTTATATCTTTTTAACACTTATTTTTAAGATTCATTTTTTAATATTTTATTTTTAAATTCATGTTTTCGCATTTTATTTTTAATTTAGTTTTTTTATATTTGATTTTTTAGATAATTTTTTTAAAATGTTAAATTTTTTTGCAATAATTATTTTTGCTTTGATTTTTTAATAGAAATTTTTCATTTTTTGCTATATACAATTTTTTTTGTTTGCTTGTAGTTTTTTTAAATAAACTAGTTTAATTCAAAGATAACTGTTAAATTTAAAACAAATATTGGCAAGACCAAGGCTCGAACAGTGCCGGTAAACTACGGTTTACCAGAAAAAAAAACTAGTAATTAACGGTGATTTACCGCGGTTCACCATATAAAACAGCCGGTTTACCGCGGTTAACCCCGGTTTACCGGACGAAACCGCCGATTTGCCGCGGTTAACCGCCGCTTTTTGTCCGGTTTTCATCACATGGGTTAGCACTTATTTCCGATCAAACAGTAACACCACCGGTATTTTTCTTTGCTCAATATTATGACTATGAAAACAATTTACGTGGTAGTGTTAGAACAATAAAACCAAAAATATTATTTATGTACAATTTCAACAACAAATCCTGGAGTATCATCGATATTCAATTATCGACTTTGCAATCAGATCATGTCAATAAGATTTTACACGAATTTAATTATAATTTTTTATCAGATGATGATCTGGAAAAGAGAAAAGATCAATTAATGAATTATATCTCAAAGATTAAACATTGATTCTTCATTGTATATTAAATAATATTTACTCTTTTTCTCTTTTGCCATATGATTGTTAACTTGTGATTGGATGTATTTATCTTGCATATGTTCATGTTATTTTTTTTTTTATTGTTCAACTGTATTTTCTTGCCTTTCTTCTAATGTACATTACACTTTGTAAGGATCTTTTCAAATCTGTCTATCTAATACATATATGTTCTATCGATTTCTCTTACCGCTCTATTATGATCATCTATTGAACATAGGTTTAACATAGATAATCTATCGTCATTTATACAATGTGTTATGTTCTATGAATAAACGGTTATTTACTCGTAGAATATAGCACACTGTATATATGACGATAGATTATCTATGTTTAACCTATGTTCAATAGATGATCATAATAGAGCGGTAAGAGAAATCGATAGAACATATATGTATTAGATAGACAGATTTGAAAAGATCCTTACAAAGTGTAATGTATATTAGAATTGGTTTATTATGAAAACTATTAAGAATATAATCAAGCGATAAGACAAACCTTTTATATAGCTACAAGAATTTAATCTACTCGAAAACCTCATTTTTTCTACAGGATAATTTATAAGTAGCTTTACGGTAGAAAATTACACTTAATAATGCCAATTCTTTTTTCTGTGACAAAGGAGACTTTAGAAGGGTGTGGGTGTGAGTGGGGTGGGTGTGTGCACTCTAAAAAAAATAGATATTCTCGAAAACCCTTAGAGGGTTTCCGAGTTTGTTACTATAGGAAATCCTTTAAGGGTTTCCGAAGAAGGGTTTCCGAGACCTCGGAAACCCATAGTACCCATTATAGCTAAATCTCAAATACCTCTTCGGAAACCCAAAGAAAAGGTTTCCGAATGCGGTTAAAGCTCTACCAAACTAGCCTAGACAGGAATCCATCACTTCTCTGCCAGCAGCAACAGCATTCACAGCGGCCACAGACATTCAATGAGGTTCTGCTGTGAATCTATTCGCACCAAGAAATAACTAGAACAGTCATTAAAAGTCAGCAACACACGGAATTTAGAGAAAAACTTTAATTATCCAGATGCACTTCGTCGCACCATTACCAAACCATCAAGAAGCTAAATATAACGGCCTTCTCCACCTAAAAAATGAACAAAAGAAGCAATTTTTCATCCAAAATCATCTAAACTCACCCGTTTTCTTCACATTCAACCACATCAAAAGTAATGAGCACCCATTCGCATGTAAAACATAATTCAACCAAAATAGTTAATGAGCGAATTTCATAGCTCATCAAACGTTAGCCTACGACAATCATCTAAAAATAAAAATAAAATTATATTTTAATTTACTAAATTGATTCAAACTCACCCGACCTATTGCGAGAAAACAATTCTAAGGATGAAAATAAAATTTCATTTGCGTACAATAATTTGAACAAACTTTCCATATATACTAAGATATAAAACGAATCTACAAATAAAAATGAAACTGTTTTTTAATTTAAAGAATTTTTGTCCAACTCACCAGATCTATGGATATAAAACGAATCTAAAAATGAAAATAGAATTGTATTTTTATTTAATGCATTGATTCAAACTCACCGGATATATCGATATCGCACGAGTCTAAAAATAAAAATGAAACTTTAATTTAGAAAATTGATTCAAACGTACCAAATTGATCGATATTAAATGAATCTAAAAATAAAAATAAAATGTCATGTTCATTTAGTAATTGGAGTAAACTCACCAGATATATTGAGATATAAAACGAATCTAAACGTAAAAGCGAAACTTCATTTTCATTTAGTAATTGAAATAAACTTACATAATGTATTGAAATATAAAACGAAGATAAAAATAAAATAAAATATTATTTTAATTTAATAAATTGATCGAAACCTACCGGATCTACCAATATCGCATGAATCCAAAAACTGAAAATAAAATTGTATTTTTATTTAATTCATCGATTCAAACTCCTTGAATCTATTGACAGACAGCAAATCTAAAAGTAAAAATGAATTTTCATTCTTATTTAGTAATTGCAATGAACTCACCCGACATATTGAGTTATAAAACGAATCTAAAAATAAAAACAAAATTTCATTTTAATTTGATAAATTGATTCAAACTCACTAGATCTATCGATATCCCACGAATCTAAAAATAAAGACAGAATTTCATTTTCATTTAGTAATTGGAATAAACTCACCGAATATATTGATAAATATGGATCGAATCTCCAAACAAAAGTTAAAGATTGTATTTTTATTTAATAAATTGAATTAACTCACACTTTTTTTTTTCGATTTTCGAAACAAATCGATGAATTAAAATGAAATTGTATTTTAATTTAATATTTGGAATAAACTTACGGGATATATGGCTATCTAAAACGAGTCTAAAAAGTAAAAGTGAAAATATGTTTTAATTTAATTAGTTGATTAGAACTCACCGAATTCCAGAGCCATGTTATGATAGAAAAAGAAAAATTAGGAAAGTGTTGTATTCATGAAATTAAATAAACACCCTGAATAGATAGAGAAAATGTAGTATTGAAAAGTATAAATGATAAGTTAGAAATATTTTATGAAATCATTTAAAATAACTCATCTACCTGTTGAGATGATTAGATATGTAAGAAAAAAAAACATTTCATGTAACATCGAATGAATTATAGAATTCATCGAGATGAATTTACGACCGAAATCATAAGAATAGTAAGCTTTCGAACGAGGTATGAAATGAAGGTACGATATTTCCTAAAGTGAAGCAGATTTTCGAGTTGATCATTAATATGATCTTAGATTATTGAAATCGAAGAGAATGGGATGGCTATTCAGATAGAGTTGATTGATAAAGTGGAGGAATTAATGTAGAAGCTTTTGATCAATATAAAGTATTTCATCAGTATTTTGCTCAAGTGAAAATGATTCTATATAAGAAAATCTTTGCTTTTGAGCGTGCTTGTAGGGAAAAGTATCGTTAGTGAAGCGTTTTCTACTCATTATAGAGACGTTATTCGATAGATATGCAATCAGAAATAAAAGAATCAGCTTGCATAGCTATTCTGATGTTTTGTTCGATAGTTGAGGACCCTGATATCATTCAAATCGAAAAGGCTTAGAAAATAAGCAACCATTCGTTGAATATGTAGTGTGAAATATGCTCATTGCATTTCACATGAGTAGACTACTAAAATTCATCTCTAAAAAAGTGTTCTAACTATTCTTTCTTCTAGTATTAAGGCATCTTCATATTCATATATAATAATAGCATCAACTTCCGTAATAAAATAGACGTCCTAAAGCCTTTTGTTAAATAAAATTTAGAACAAATATAAAAAGCATGCTTAAATGGTCAATCTGTAGCTAAATTTCTCTTATACTGACAGTAAAAATAAAAGTTGTTCTTGAGCTAAGTCTCCGATGAATGCAATGTAAATATAAGCAATTTCATCTCCCTTCCAAAACGTAAAATTTTAGTAAAACTTCTAATAAACTATTCTCTAACGGAGAGATTATAAACAAGATTGTAACATGATTAACGATCTTCTCGACATTTAGAAATTAGTGTTTTTTCAATATAATATTTTATTAATATTAGAAAATATGAAATAACCATTGTTTTCCTTATTTTACTTCGTCTATCGGTTGCCCTCGACCAGTCTCAAAATTAGTACGACACAACTTAATGAAATTAAAGCGAATCATAATTAAACATAAGAGAAATTGCATTGATTTGTACTTTACACATTGAACCCTTCTTTTTATTCGATTATAGAGCAAAGCTAGAAAGTGACTGAAGACAAGACAAAAGTATCAGATCGATGATTTATGTTCTTGTGAAAGTTATATGAAAACATATTGTTCATATGTCTTATAAATGACATTAATTTGTTAACATGTGGACTTAAGTTGCAGTTTTCTGTTTGTTTTAAAAGCCTATAATCTTTAGAAATAACCCAACTGTAATTCTCACTTAAGAATATAAATTTCTGCAATTCTTTCCTCCTGTAATTTTTGTCATCCACGATAGCTACAATATAATTCTTACTTTAGCGACACTCAATCAAAAAAGGAAGAAAAAAGACATATGGTAATTGTCTAATTTATTTATTTTGTTCCCGATTTGTTAATATTGTATTCTCTTTTATATTCCGAAGAATAAGATCAACAGTAAAACGCACAAATAACATTCCATTATTTATGAAGCATGATCTGGCTTCACATTTCATGGAACTGTTCACACAGGAACAATTTTGAATAATTCAATACGCAATTATTAATTAGATCGGTGTTTTGCTGTTTCATAAAAATGTTCAAAGCTGAGCATGAGAAAGAATATGAAAAAAATAAGGTTCAAATCCACATCTATCCTTTTGCGAAGTTTTTGAGATGTCAATCAGAAAATTGATGAAGGTATCAGAAAAGTTGAAAACCTTAGGAACTCTTTTAAGTGTTAACACAAAATTTGCAAACCTATTTTGATTTCCAATGATTCTATTTTTAGATTGGGTATTTTCGCAAACCCATCTCGGTATCCTATGATACCCTTTTTCACATTGGGTATTTTCGGAAACCATTTAGAAAATGAAAAAGTATTTTCGCATACCCTTTCGGGTATCAATCCGGTTTTACTACTAATATGGGTTTTCGACAATACCTTCCCGATTTTCGAGAAACCTATTGGGTTTCCGAAAGCAAGAAAAAGGTATTGTAGAATACTTTTAGAGTGTTCAATTGAGTATTGTCGGAAACCCAAACCGTATTTTCAGAAACGCTTCCAAACTTCGGAAACCCGCTCGGAAACGGAAAAGGGTTTTCGAGTAGGTTTCCGAACCCTTTGGGTTTCCTAGGATACGGAAATTTTTTAGAGTGTAGGGTAGCAACTTTTTGTACTGATAAGCCTCTTATAGGCATCAGTTCTTCTTCTATTGGATGAGCAAAATAATAATAAAAAAAAACATAGAAATATGGACCATGATCATATATGTCACTCGATACATGACAACGTATTCTTAGTGTTGTTGATGGTGGTGACTTGCATTACTTTTAATTAAATGACAGTAGACTATATTTGAATTCGAATCATGGCCAGTGTTCATAGAATATGATCTTTCTCCTGGTCTAAAATGAAATGTATGTAATATGTATCACTTGATCACACGATATATCATTTTTGACAAGAAATAACGAAGGGATAGAGCGAGAAAAGCATTAATATACTTTTATGAATCAAAATGAATTTATCGTTAAAACAATTTCTTTTCGAGAACAAAAAATGGAGTTTCAAAAAAGATTACAACGACAATAGCTGCAATATAGCTGAAGAATAAATTTGAAATATAAATGTTAACTATCATATGTGGTTGAACATATATAGGCATTGTCTGATTCAACATAGTTATCAAAATAATTGTCGAGTTGATAAGATACGCCGAATAATTAAGACGAGCTAGAGGAGCCCATATTGGCCATGAAAGAATCGTATTAACTATTCCACCTTGTTTGGTACTACACAAAAAGATAAGCCAACCAATGAGTAGTGCCCAACATGGACGAGAAAGTGTGTGATAAACAATAAGTGCCGATCGACTAAGACCTGGAACGAGAACATAATCAGGGTATATTACAAGGATACAGGTTAAGCCAAGTATGACAGCCAGAAGACTTCCAAATATTTTTGTATAGATATTCGAACGATACGAACGACCAGTATTGATGACAATAAAACCAATCAGAAGACCAATAGCATACGCGGATATGCGACCCCACGGTTTAATATAGATTTCGGTATAGTAGGTAACACCATCCTGTAAATGAAAGATTAAAAACACTGTTAGTATCACTTGGAAAATTGTAAAAAGTTAAAACTTACTCTTTGAAAGAGGCCTGCTATAGTGTTCAGATTTATATTAGGATAATAAAGAAGAATACCTATCACTGACCCAATACCAATGAGAACGAATAGAGTGGCAACAATAAATGCAATGAGCTGTCGACCAATCACAAATGGTATGAGAGCAAGTGGTGCAATCCAATGAAATTGCATATCATTCTGAAGGTACCACGAACCAGACAAGCACATGTCACCGATTTTAAATAGATTAGCAATATAAAGAATGGATGTCCACCAACCACGATGACTACAACCATCACTTTCAAATCCTTGTTTGGACGGATAGAGAGGTCCACCGCCGAAGTATGGTGTCAAATTAATGCTCACAAGAATGACAAGAATAAAGGTCGGTGTAAGACGAATATATCGATGAATGTAATAAAGAATAAATGAACGAAATGTAAGTTTTTCTTTAGTTATTTGTCGAACAAAGAGAATTGCTGTTAAAAAACCGCTAACAACAAAAAAGGTATCCACACTGAAGAGACTACTGACAATCAATTGAAATGCTATATTCTGAGAGGAAGCAAGCACATCGATAAAATTACTTGCATTGTTTACGTAATAGCCAAATGTACGACCAAAGATCACCCAGAAAAGTGAAAGTACACGGAGACCGTTGAGAAAATCAAATGAATCATGATTGTTTCCCATTTTCATCGTAAATATACGACGTAATGTACGTACAGCTGAAAATTGCTCAATTGTATCGAGTATAGGGTTCGTAGGAGACTGTGGATGCCCTAGTAATGTCGCCGATTTAATCTCAGACATTTCAATAGCCAATATTTTATTATGTTCACTCATGTGCGAAGCAATATGACTGACTGATTCGAGATAAGAATCACGAACAAGATCGATGATAGTACCGACTAATACGAGAAGACCAAGTAGAGAGAGAACAACACATGTGAAAATCGCACCGCGTGATAAATCTTTCTGTTTACTGGCATCATCATTCGAACAATATACACGTTCTTCATCAATATTGCTTTTATTGAATAGACTTTGAACTAATGAAACAATGGATTGACGATTACATGAAGAAGGTACACAAATCCCAAGAGTAAGTGCGCCAGGGATTTGTGGTGGTAGGATGCCCCGTAGACGTAGAGAACCTAATAAAACATTCTCTCTCGGTTTTACGTATTCATAAAGCGAATAACATATACTTACAGTATTGACCATCGAGCGGCTGTGGTAAGAATGTTTTTTTCTCAGGTTGAAATAATGGATCGAGACATTCATCATAATTACCCAACCACAAAGTATTTCCTTTGAGTAAACCAGATGGCAGAGGTTTACCCCATGCATCCAAGATTTTGAATGCCCAAAGCTCATTACGTAAAGCTGCTTCGACTAAGAGTTGAAAGTCTTGTTCGCATTTAGTTGTTATATTACCGTTAGAAGACAGTGAAATAGATGAGAGCATTTCAAGCATTTTAGCAGGTATAATACTGTATGACTTATAGTCAACATTGTGAAGTGTGAATTGTGGACGTTGAAGTAGTTGATCAATAGCTACATCGAAACAAAGTAGAACGGTTTGACGTTCTCTTTAAGAAACGATCTTCGGTAGTGAAAGGAGTAAGAATAATACAATAGCAAGCATTACAAAGGTCTTTTTGTTTATCAGGTATATGACCTATGCCTTATGTCACTGTGATAATACGAAGAAGAAAAAGTTTATATATTGACTGAGTTCTGATCATAAAAGTCAACAGAATTTCAGTGGTCTCACCTTTTCGTGATACTATATGATAGCTCGTATTGATATCATTCATTCAATGTACATGAATCTTTTTTTTACAAATAAAGCCTTCGATATATTAGAAGACTCGGGGTTTTCTATTCTGTCTTATTGCTCACAAGTTACAAAGGGGTCTTCTATTATGTCCCTAAAAAGTCAATTTTTTTGGTAATCTCAACAACAAATCACAATTTCAACTCTTTTTTTGTTCAGTACATCGTTAGTAAACGAGTTTGTTTTACTTATCCCTCGCTCATACAATGGAAAAGAAGCGGATAATGTTTTAATGCAATAAAACAGAAAACTATTGTTACTTAGAAGAGTGTTCTTGTAATAATATGGACAACATATCCTAAAATTTTGGTGTGATTTATAACAGCACCATTTTTTTCTAAAGAATACAATTTATCACTGGTGGGAGTTATGTTCTATATAATACACACTCGGAGAAAAGTCTTTCCCTCTCTTTGTTTTTATATTATTACACTTTGCATCGAGTTTATTGCCGAGTAAAGAGTGATGATATAAAAACAAAGAGGGGAAAAGCTTTTTATCTGGAAGTATAAATAACTTAAAGAAAGAAAACTAAAACTTTTTCTATCAAAGTTATTTAAGTTAGTTGCTTATGTTGAGGATTGGCTCGTATAAATAGAATTGGTTCAAAATGAAATATACCACCAGCTTACGAGGGAACCTCTCCAAGTGTTAACTCGCTTTTTGATTCAGACTATGTTCATTCGATCAGTCGTAGTGAGTGATTCAAAAATCTAAAATAGTTTGATTGTCTAAGCGTTTGTTCTTAAGATATCAAGGTTTTTACTAAATTTTTTGACAAAAAGCTGTAGCCCCCTCAGAATCCATGGAAAATCGAATTTTGATTTTTCATCTGAAACTTTGCGCAAATGAGAGATCTCAATGAGACTCATTTATTGTGAATGTTTCAGATGAAAAATCGAAATTCGATTTTCCATGAATCCTGAGGGAGACTACAGCTTTTTGTCAAAAAAATTCAGTAAAACCTCGATATCTCAAGAACGAACGCTCAGACAATCAAACCATTTTAGACTTTTGAATCACTCACAACGGCTGATTGAATAAACACAGTCTCGATCAAAAAGCGAGTTAACACTTGGAAAGGTTCCCTCGTTAGTTATTAGTTTTTAGATAATTGGGTGGGTGGGTGGGTGAAATGAATACCGACACCACACCCACCCATCCTTCGCCTTATTCACACATTCGTATTCATACTCTTTGATATAACTAATGAATTAAACAAAGTAGTGTTTAGTGTCATCGAAATAGAAAACTCTGAAATAACGTGTGATTATTTATATATCATCTATGGATAATTTTTTTTCTATTAGAATTGTTGAAAATGTATGAATACTTTAAAAACAACATATTTTCTTCTGTGGCTGACAAAAAATACAAAGTCAATATATTTAGCTAACATGTATATGATAAACGATGTTGTCTATTAAATGGACGAATATTCGAAGGTCATTATCGTAAAGCAAAGTGTTTGGAGCAACGATTTTCTCTATTGCAGATTATACAGGAGTAAAACTATTTTTAAAACACAGAATTAGTATGCAGAATAGAATGTGTTAAATGGTATAAAATACAACTCAATTTGACTGATTATTGTTTGAAATAAGAAAGAAAAGATGTTGCTCCACATTTTAGAAATTAACGTAACTTTCTCGAAAATCACAAGACACAGATGGCTGAGTTGTATATGCGATTATGTGACGATGAAAATAATACACATAATATGGATGTGAGTGAGTCAAGCAAACTATGACGCGTTTCGACCTTGCTAAAGAGTCTCTTCAGATGGTTTTGGCTTAATTGTAAAATATAGATTCTATTCTAATGATCTAAATATCACAAATACAATACCTATATTTACAATTGACCTATTCTCGTTTCGAAAGAAAAGGATAGGTGAAATGTAAATATAGGCATCTTATTTGTGATCTTTAGATCATTAGAATAGAATCTATAGTTTACAATTAAGTCGAAACCATCTGAAGAGACTCTTTAGCAAGGTCAAAACGCGTCATGGTTTGTTTGACTCACCCGATTCTAATAATAGCTGTAGTCCCTGTTGGCTATGTGAAGGCTAAAAACAAAGGGAACACTATGAAGTGTGCATATAAAAAAGTTATGATTAGGTACTTTAGCTGAATAAATGCCATCCATGGAGTAGATGCGACTCGTGGAGTTTTGAAGTTGATTCATATGATTCAAAGACGGTTGCATATAGTTTGCCGGTCTTTTACGTTGATGATTATTAACAATATCGGATTGGTGTTGCAGATGATCTTGTCCTTCTTGAACTTGCCAACCCAAACTATTTTGACCTGGATCCGTTTCTGGCAGCAAGAAGTCTGATGGCTGACCATCAGCCACGGGTTTGATTTCGCCTGTGTCAGGTTGACTATTGACCGACTTTGAACTGACAAGGCAAGCTAATGCCAGAAACAGCAACAACATCATTGTTTGAGATAATTTTTGCATGATCATAAACAGGCTGTCTCCTCTTTGGTGTAATCGTTTTCGTTGACAACTAAATTGCTGATATCCATGAAATTGCTCTGTTTATATACTATTAACGACTTCCTCTTCCCCTCACCCTCTACAGGAATCTTTCTTATTTTTACTTCCGAGTCATAGCTTATCTTTCAACACACTCTCTCAGCTTCTTTCTACCTACCATACTGACACATCATTTAATATAACTTACAATCTAGCCTTTCCGTTCCTTTTTCCATCAGTGTTTTGTTGTGGTTGGAAATTTCCCAAATACAAGGCGGTACATAACAAGTACAGGAGAAGATGTCGAACATGTGTAGCAGAAGACAAATTGCAGTTGAAGAGACCATATCTTTAGTTACTAGTCAGGAATTACCAAATGAAAGTAAGTTATTTGTTCTTATCAATTCTATTTTAATACTTGATGTTGATTGGATGAATCATCTCACTCGCAAAATATATCTTATCTGTTGGAATATTTCAATGAAATTCGATGCCCAGTTCCTTCGGCAGTGTGATTTTTCATGAATGCAATTAATCTTTCTTTGCGAAGTGCGCAAAATAAAATGCTTCCGCGAGGAAGTGACATATCTCATCGAAATCTATATCCAGAGCTAGAAAAGGTTATCTATGGGAAGAGCCCTTTTCTCATGACCTATAGCACTATCTTTTACTCTTTACAAACTCATATAAATATGGCCTGTAATCGAGCAGACAATCACAAACAAACAACTTCGCTATTGAAAGTACCGCAGATCGACATCTTTCTTCGTCTCAGCTACACATCCGACCGAACAATCATGCAAGCTACACCATGGCTGCTGTTGAAGTATTGAAAGAAGCTGTAGATATAACCACGATTCCTGTTGAGATGATCGAAAAGCAAATGTTTCCGAAAGCAATATCCGAAGAGGAATGGCATCGAAATGTGAAAGAATTCTTGACAAATACCGACGATGGTTATACAATGGTTGAAACATCAGCTGAAGATATGCAGAAGATCGAAGAATTACTTGAAACAAAAGAAAAGGTTTTTTCAACGCCATACATGATCAAGACCAAATGTGAACACTGTCCAAATTGCCAGCGTCAAAACAATTTTTTGGATGTTGTTGCAACTGGTCTCAAGGTTCATAAACCCCAATTCTTGATAGATGTATTCACGGGCAAATATGGACACATACTCAACAGTGCACCGCATCAACGATGCTTCTGCTATCAATGTGGCATTCAATTACCTGAAGATGCAACCAAATTTTCAGCACCGAAAGAACCGACGGCTGAACAGAAGAAGGCATCTAACTACTCGTTTCCAATTTATAATTATCGAAGTTGAACTTCAAATATTTAATCGAGAATTTTTCTTGAACTATTTTTTTCCATAATAAACAAGAATCGCTTACAGCAGTGCCTGTTTTGACTGCAAGAGAAACTGGAGAAATAATCTTCGATCTTAGAAGCAGCAGCATTATGTGTCAACGGTAGTATAAGTCTTACATTTATTTTCAACTATTCGTAACGCTTTTGTGACACTGAGTCATAGTGAACGACGAAAGGAATCGAAATCACTCATATAACAAATGATTCAGAAGAAGCATAAGCACAAAAAGTTCAATGACGAAAGAGAGCATCAAATGAAGAAAAGAGAAGAATGAATGTGCATAGAAGTAAACAAGTGTTAGGTAGCAGTCCGAATGCTTATTCATTGCTTCTTCTCTGCACTCATCTCTTATCTGCTCTCTTAAAAAAAAGTGTCATACTGAACCTTTAAAGGTTCTAGATTTGGATACCATTTTCAGAATCTTTTTAAGATTCAAGCAAAATCTGGTTCGGTCTGGAACCTTTTTTCCTTTTTTTTCAAAAATGGTTCTAGCCTGCTCAAAAGCAGTTCATTCAATACACTTATAGTCTAGTACTGCTGATTAATTCTATATCTGACCCTTATTTCTACTCTTAACCCCTTATTTCTATCCTTAACCCTTATTTCTATATCTAACCCCTTATTTCTACCCCTTAACTCTTTATTTCTATCCGTAGCCCCTTATTTCTATCATTAACCCCTTAATTCTATATCTAACCACTTATTTCTATGTCTAACCCCTTATTTCTACCCTTAACCCTATATTTCTATCCCTAACCCTTTAATTCTATCCTTAATCCCTTAATTCTATATCTAACCCCTTATTTCTACCCTTAGCCCTTTATTTCTATCCTTAATCCTTTAATTCTATGTCTAACCCCTTATTTCTATCCTTAACCCTTTATTTCTATCCTTAATCCTTATTTCTATCCTGAACCCTTATTTCTATATCTAACCCCTTACTCATCTCCTTAACACCTGATTTCTATCCTTAACTCGTAAACTCTACATCTATTATATTTACCCAGATTTGCCGCGATTAAAATAGGAGCATACATTCCTCTTTCTATCGACACCAGAAGTGCATAGCTGATGCTTGATGTTCAGACGGTCTGAAACAGACAAAACAATTAATTCATATTGTAAGATTGAATTTACCATTGAATTGATTATTTACATATACCTAAATAGATAAAAACCTTAATTTCTATTATAATACTAAACTTACGATTGAATTGGTTACTAGTATATATCTAAATAAAGAAAATAATTAATTTATTTAGGTAAGATTAAACTTGACTTTAACTTGATTTTTGGAATATACCTAAATAGACAAACAAATTCAATCATTTTATAAGTTAAAGCTTACCTTTGTATTGAGTATGAATATATACCTAAATAGATAAAAATATTAACTGATTTTATAATATAAAACTTACCATTGAATTAGTTACTGGTATATACCTAGATAAATAAAAAAAAGCTTGTTAGCGCAGCTCCTGCGGAGCTGAAATGTGGAACTCACGTATACCTTTAGCTTTATTACCTGACGTATCATCTGTATACTGAAAGACTTCTCGTCAACCGTAGTTGTTTTCCTTGAGAATCGATGAAAAGAGCGGGAATTTATTATTTATTTGTATATTAAAAAAATATATTAAAAAAGAAAATATTGTTTTTTCATTTAAGTGCGCTCGATTTTATTTATAAT